GATGTAAGTAATGACATCAATTTAGTTTGGGTTTGGGTTTAGGCTCCCATAATGGATCAAGTTTATGATCCAACATTCCGATCGACTCTTAAGTCGTAATGATTTGTCAGACGTTCGACCCAGTAAAGGCTGGTTTTCATGGCATAAAGGTCGGGAGCAGTCAAGTCAACTATGTGAACGTCTTGACCGATTTGTTGCATCATCAACATGGTTGCGTTCCCACCCCTCCTGTCGCGCTTCAAGTGAATTTATTTCGACATCTGATCATTGTTTTATTACCATGGAATGTATGACTACTGTTCGGCGTCCTCGACACAGGGGTAGCTCTGATTATTTTCGTTTTGATGCTTGCTGGACTGCTGATGAAGGCTGTCGGTCTCGCGTAAAACAAGCTTGGGAAGGATCTCCAGGTTCCACTCTTGCTAAAATACAATCTGTTGGTGATTCTTTTCACCAATGGCAGTTTGAACGTAGGGATGCAAATAAAACTAAGATAGCATCAACCCGTGCCTGTCTTGATCACCTTCTTTCCCGACCACTTTCAAATGCTGAAATGCTGGAGGTGACGACTTTGAAAGCTGAGCTACATCATTGTAGTTCAATTGAGGAGGCTTACTGGCACCAACGTTCACGTAATAATTGGTTGCAACATGGCAATCGTAACACGCCATACTTTCATGTAAGAGCATCTAGTCGTCGATGGAAGAATTTTGTGCGTGGAATTTATACATCTGATGGGGAGTGGGTCGATTCAATTGAAGAGATTCATGTTGAGGAAGTTTTATATTTTTCTGATTTATTCTCCTCTAGTTGAAACCTTTGGTTGGAGGAGGTAATTGACTCTGTACAACAGGTTTTTACACCCGAGATGAATGCCTCCCTTCTTGCTCCTTTTTCTGCTTAGGATGTATATACGACATTCTTTCAAATTCATCCGACCAAAGCCCAGGGTGTGGATGGTCTTCCAGCCAGTTTCTACCGATCCTTCTGGCCCATCTTTGGTGAGGACGTAACAGCTTTATGCTTGGGTTTGTTATCTGGCCAAAATTCAATGGAGTCAGTCAATCAAACAGTTTTGGTTTTGCTGCCTAAAGTGACTGATTCAGTCCGTTTTCCCCATTTCAGGCCTATTGCTTTTTGTCGAGTGATTTTTAAGATTGTGTCAAAGTGCATTGTTAACCGATTAAAGCCACTTCTGCCCTCTTGCATTGACGAAACCCAGGCAGCGTTTGTTCCTGGACGACAGGGTTCGGATAACATGATTATTGCCCATGAAGTTTTTCATCATTTGAAGTCTAGCACTGGTTATTCCTCTCGTGGGGCAGCCTTGAAACTTGATATGGAAAAGGCATATGACCGCATTGAATGAGCATTCCTTCGAGCTATGCTGGTGCGTCTCGGCTTTGATCCGGCTTGGGTGGCTGTGGCTTTGGTCATGTCTTGTGTCACAACTGTTTCTTACAGCATCCGCATCAATGGTTCATTAACTGAGTTTTTCCAATCTTCAAGGGGTTTGCGACAAGGCGATCCTTTATCACCTTTCCTCTTTGTTATCTGCACTCAAGGTTTGTCTTTGCTATTACACCATAAAAAGCTTGTGGCACATATCCAAGGTGTTAAAATTAGTCATCAAGGGCCTTCCATTACACACTTGTTGTTCGTTGATGATTGTCTTCTTTTCATTCGTAATTATAATGATGAGGTCCTTGCTCTTCGTGGGGTGATAGAGAGTTATGCACAAGCTTCCGGCCAGTAGATTAACTATCATAAGTCAAGTATTTTCTTTAGTGCTACCACTTCGGTAGCTTTTCGTATTGAAACATGTCAGACTTTAGGTGTTGAAGAAGGTGTTAACCCGGGGTTTTATTTGGGCCTTCCATTGCTTATTGGTCGTAATAAACAACAAGTGTTCTCCTTTATGCGAGAAAAGCTTCTGAAACGGGTCACAGGATGGTCGAAAAAACCTGGTTTCATATGGAGGAAGGGAGATTTATATTAAGTCCGTCGGCCAAGCAATGCCACATATGCAATGGGATGCTATCTTCTACCTACCGGCGTTATCGATGACCTCACCTGGGTGCTTCGTGATTATTGGTGGTCTGGTCGGACTGATGCACATGGGTGGCCTATTTTAGCTTAGTCGATCGTATGTCAGCCTAAAAGGGTGGGTGGTGTCGGTTTTCGGGACCTTCATGCTTTTAACTTAGCCCTCCTTGGTAAACAGATTTGGCGCCTGGTTAAATCTCCTGATAGTCTAATAGGCTGTATTCTCGCCGGGAAATATTTTCCAGGAGGATCTTTGTGGTCGGCTCCACTTGGTAATCGACCTTCTTATGTTTGGCGCAGTTTACATGTAGCTAAAACCACTTTTTAACCTGGATACTTCTGGCAACCTGGAGTTGATAGTGCTGTTTGTATGTTCCAAGATTCTTGGGCTTCGCCTGTTTCATTTTCCACCGGCTATATTGATAATGCTGATGCTCCTGTTCGTTGTGGTGAATTCATGATTCCAGGGATGGCGTTGTTAAATGAGCAACTGGTTAGACAAGTGTTTTTATCCTCCGATGCTGACGCCATTTTAAGATGTTCGATTGTTGTTCTCCATCGGGATCTCCTCGTTTGGGGTTATCACTCTTCGGGGTTATATTCAGTTCGGTCGGGTTATACATGGCTGATGCGACCTCCTCAGGATATCGATACCACTTCTTCTTTATGGCTGTTCTTATCTTGGTCACCCACTCTCCCGAAAATACGTATATTTGGTTGGCGTCTTGCGGCTGATGCTTTGCCAGTGGGTTCTCGTCTTGTAATGGCAGGATTGAGTGATGGGGTATGCCCAATGTGTCGTTTGCATCCGGAGACAGCCCTTCATGCTATTCGCGACTGCCCCGACTCCACAGCTATATTATCTGCAGCGGGTTTTCCAACTTCATGCATCCACACTTCTCATATTTCCTGTGGTGATTAGTTATCATTTTTAACGCAGGTTTTAACTCTTCCACATTTTGTTGACTTACTTGGGATAGCTTATTCATTGTGGATGCGAAGGAATCTGTTTGTTCATGAAGGAAGGTTGACACCGGGATGGCATCTGATATCGGAAGCTCGTGCTTTACAAGGTGCGTACGTATGCACAATTTCACGCTGGTTCATCTCCTTTCATCTCATCTTCGCGTCCCTCACGCTGGTGTAAGCCACCGCTTTCCACTATCAAGATCAATGTGGATGGGCCTTTTCACCACGAGGAGTTCTTGCCGTCGGAGTTATTGCACGTGATGAGAAGGGCATAGTGGTTGCTGAGCAGGCTATTTCTTTGTCAACTGTTGGTGAGGCTTGCATCGCTGATTAGCATATGCAATGACCATTGGCATGCAGGTAGGCCTTGCACTAGGTGCTAATAGGATTTTAGTTGAGAGTGATGCAGCTAACTTGATTCGTCAACTACAGCGCCGAATTTTAGATCTTTCTGTCGCTTGTTTTAATCTCGAAGAGGCTCTTCGACTACTTGCAGCTAATCCGAATCTGAATATCGCTTATTGTCGTCGTTCAGCTAACTTGGCAGCCCACACTCTTGCTACATGGGCATCGCACTCTCACTCTTCTATTTATTTTGATGATATTTGTCCAGATTTTATTAACTCTATTGTATTGACTGATGCTATTTATGGTTGAATGCAATTATCGTCCTGTTTCAAAAAAAAAATTATCATAAAGATAACATATATTTAAACTTGAAAAAAATAATATTATCATCAAAGAATGATGAATCAAGAATATAATCATGATTATGGAGAAAAAATATTCATATTAAACTCTTTTCATATGGAATTAAGCCATATGAGGAGAAGCACGTTTAGCAAACAAATTTACAAAGGACTGAATATGCTTTCGGAACTAAATACAAATCAAGTAATTATGTTCAGAAATTAGGTTTCCTCCGACATTGTGACCTTTGGGCTGGTTCTCTATGTAATTGAGGAGATACTTGAAGGTCTCGATCTCACAAGGGAGAGTAAGGCCACCGTTGTGATCATATCCGAATTCCTCCCCGGCTTTTTCCAGCAAAATCTTGAAAAGAGGGTGGCTGAGGTAGCTGGTGGGGATGATGAACCTTCGAAGCTCAGCCCCTACATACACGGCCAAATATCCTTTGGGAACATCAGGCGCCGGTTCAGGGCTGTGGCAGCTTTCGTCGTCGGAATCGTTATGGATTATATTTGTTTGGATTTTGCGGATTGATTGTGACACATCCACATGGTTTCCTTTTGAATTATGGGTATTTGGCCTTGACCCAAATGTCACGGTTTGCCACTTTTGAAGCATTCCTTTTAGTCTAACGATCTGTCTGATTCCCTTCGACTTCACACCACTTTGCGCAACGGTGAAAAGAGAAGAAACCCAGTCACTATTCCTTTAAAAGAAACTTGATTTTGAGATCGATCAGCTGTCTAACATGCAAATTTAACCATTTACCCTAAACCATGCAAGAAATCCCAACATGATCAACCATGAAACATCAACACAAAATTGTCTCCTTTTTCATATAAATTCTTGACATTATGCAAGGAAAAAGGGAAAGGATTGTTACCTGATTATGAGGGGAGGAATCAGCAAGCGCGCTAAGGAAGGAAAGCCATTGCGAAGGAGGAAATTGAATGAGAAAACTATGACAAATGATGCCAAGAAAAACACCAAATGGGATAGCCACAAAAAATATAAATCCTCGTTATAGAAATCACACAAGTTGGTGGTTTTTTATTCTTGGGTTTTTTTTTTAAATTATTACTAGTAAAAATCCGTTGTTTCATTGATTGTCTATTCATAATTTTCTATTGGGTTAAGCGATTGTATCGGTGGAATTCTAAAAAATAATATTAGTAATTAACTAATAAAGTAAAAATATAAAAATAGTTATAAGAAAAAACGAGCATTAATCTCTCATGTATATTACATATATAATAAGAAAAAAATGACATTGAACAACAATACAACATTATCATTACATAATGTACACGGAACGCTTCGTTTGGTCTCCACAAGCAATCAACAAGCGTAGAACTCGACAAGTTCCTCCAATGACTCAGCTTGAGGATCAGCATTTTCGAGCATCCAAAGCAAGTGTTCGAACAAGACAACCTCGCACGACACATTGATGACGGTGTCGTTTTCGCCAATCGACCTTCCCGTGAGTTCGCGGAACAAAGGGGTTTCGATGATGTCGGAGCTAATAAGGTACCGCCTCCGGGACTTTCCCACGTAGACCGGGACGAGATTTGTCGAAGAATATTCCTCGTCAATATCCGAAGCCGCCGCTACTGAGCTCGATTTAGGGCGGCTTTGCTTGTTGTTGTTGAAGGAGTTTAGCTTCTTGAGAACTGACTTAAGCTTCGTTAGCTTGTCGCTACCTTTCGCCATTGTCTTTCGCTTTTAGGAAGGTCTAAGGATTTTGCAAGAGATTTGGGAAGTTTTTTACTGCGAAGGTCGAGGGAGAAGAAATAACTGCTTAACTGCTTGCGAGCAGAGGAGGAAGGTTCGTTGGTTTATAAAGGAGTTATAGAAGGGTGAAATCGTAAATTTGGTTGAAATGAGTCCACATATAGAGTCTAGGCCGCGCCTCTTTTTTTTGTTTTCGCTTTCGAGTGGCGTTAATTGACCGATGGGCGGTGACTATCAAATATTCCAATTTAAAATAGGATTGATGTTTTATTACTCAATTCTCACTTATTATATATTTTCTTTGTTATTTTCTTTATTCTATTATTATTATTAATATATTATTTTAGTGATGTTTTTATTAAAAAACATAATTTAATCGGTCACATGTAATCAACATATATAAATTTATTTAAAAAATCATAAAACCATAAAATGTCAAAAAATCTAAAAAATACAAATGTTATTTTTAAGAACCCCTAATTTTTAATATTTTTCTCTCCTATTTCCAATTCTTTTATCAATTTTAATTTTTTAAACAAGTATAATAAAATTTTTGAAAAATAAAATAAAAATTAAAACATAAATCTTAAAACTGATAATATAGTAATAATTTAATTAGCATTATATTATTATACAAAAAACATTACTTTGAAATATAAAATCGTTTGAAGAATAAAAACAACGAAAATTTATTTAAGTGAAGGTTCACCTCATACGTCCGTCTCTAATACTAATAATACATCCTTTAAGAATAATCAGTGTATACATTATGAGAACCATTAAGAACAATCACAAAATCACTAAGAATAAGGTGAGAAGCAAGAACATGAATATCTTAATGGCAGATGATGCTTTGGGTGAGTTGAACAACAAACTAAGACGGTTCTTTAATCAAAGGAAAAACCCTTCGATAAAGGCAATTTTGCGGCGTATGAAACAATTGCATGTGACCAAACACATGGAATCAAATTAATGTCCCAAAAAATGTGAACCACCAACTCTAAAAACCAGCCTCAATCACACCCGACCATACCCTCATCATGTGGATTCATACACTATATTTTACTAACGCCTCCAACATACGCCATTTACCGCATCCTTTTTAGTAACTTCACTTGCTTGCAAATTGAAAATGAAAGTTTTTTTTCTTCTAATTATGCTTTTATATATATATATATAATATATATATATATATATATATATATATATTATCTTTCAAATATATATGAATTCATCAAGCGATTTCAATGGTTAGTGAAAGTATTGTTCTCTCTAGAAGTTGTGGGTTCAAGTAGTTGTGTCTGCAGCTTGTGTGCATAACTAAGTAATATTCTAAACATATACTACCTCGTAATCACCCAAATTACTTTTAAAAAAAATATGTATCTGCTTGTATATTATAAAAAAATATTTACTATAGATCATGAGCGATACATAAAAGGATCGAATAATCTCCTTCTTTATTCAAGAAAAAGTATTTCTAGTTTTCATGATCTAATCATTGATCCTGAAAATTTTTACAATAAAATTATGTAGGTCATTAGTATAGTTCCCTATTCATGATTCTGCTATTTACTTTTATTGAAAACTGAAAAAAATAATGAAATAGAAGGGTCTCTTAATAGATAGAAAGAGCAAAGAAAGTACAACTTTACATTATTTTCTAATATTTTTATAAAAAAAAAATCAAATTATTGAGTCTTGATAAAATATTTCAACTTCAAGATCTTTGTATGCTGTATAAATTGGAATCAAAACATTACTCTATTAGGATATATTTAGAAGTAATAGTTTTTTTTCTTAAAACTATTAATTGATTGATTGACCAAGAGTTTGTCTAGAATTTGATTCTGTCGGCGCTCTATTCCGTTTCAATGAATGGACAACATTAATGATGATTAACACATAATAACAAAGGCTTGCGACGACAGTTAACAAAGAAAGAGAATCAAGAAGCAAAATGTGTGGTGAGAGTTTCATTTTTTATTTATGTTCAACGATACTCGTTGAAAACTTTTGATTCTGATTGTTTATTTCTCGGGAAACACGATCCCATCAGAAAATCAACAAGATCTGCTTGCACTTTTGAACTTATCCTACTCTGTGTTTTGATTTCAATCTCCTTTTGCTCAAAAAACATATACCGGGGAAGGGTTGAGATGTCCCCGAAAGACGTAAGAACCGTCTATTCTTGATTGCGACATAACCTTGCGTCTGAAAACTTCATGCTGGAATCATTGGGACTTGATTATAATTTCTTTGAGTGATTAAAATCGATTTCTATGATTATTTTAGATTAATGAAAACAAACAAAGGCCTAAACCCTATAGGTCCCATCATCTGCATGTGCTTAAGCAGTTTAACGATCTCATTGCGATATTATATGCGACACGTAGCATGTGATTAGCATTATCAAGCTACTAATGATCAGAGTTCATTCATTTTAAAGGAATGCATTTGTCTTTTATATATACGTGTGTGTATGTTTCTAAACATTGGATTCTACTTAGATAAGTAAATTTATTTGGATTACTTGCCAATTAGTCAGATTTGGGAGTTAATTCAGAAAAAAATATTAATAACAGGTTTCAATTTTTGTTTAGATTGAGTGAGTGTAAAAATTATTAGTTAATATATTAGTGGTAGAGTTTTAAATTTGATAGACATGATTTTAACTTCAATTGTGAAGTTTAAAAGTTCTATTATTAATATATCAAATAATTATCATGACATACAATGATGAACTCAATATAACCGTAGAGTATTAACCATAAAAAAATCGTATAATCTCTTAAAATTTTATGTAATTTTAATTTAATATAATGAAATATGCTAAGGGACGTTGTTCAGGGGTAAATGGTAAGATGGCCGTCCTTGATATAGTAAGGTATTGACGGGCATTTCGCCCTTAGATTTATGGGCCGTGATTCAAAGCTTAATGGAGCAATGTCATGGGATAGGCATGCGTCAGCACTTTAAGGCCCAATATTTAGGTCAAGGCCTTGCAGCCTTTACGTAAGACTGAAGCGATTGGATCTAATTCTCATTTGATCATGATATATAACTTTCTAGCAGCAACTTCCTTTTTTTTACTTTCGACTGCCCTTTTCGGGACCCACGCCGCGCAGATGTGGGATCCATCGTGCATGACAGCCAAGCTGAAGCCATACTTTTTCCTTTCGTTCGCGGTAAACCTGTAAAACCTCCCTCCACCACTAGAGGTGTTCATTCCGAAACGGTGATCGACCTAATCGAAATATCTTTAATTAAATTAATTAATTTTTGTTTAATCGTTAATTAAATTGAATTTTTTAAAAAAACATTAATTGAACTGAATAAATTTCGGTTAATTCAGTTAATTTTTGAATTAACCGAAATTTTTTAAAATTTTTAGAATTTAATATATTTTTAATTAAATATAATTTATAATTAATTTAAATAATATCTAGTTATAATATCTAATTAATTTGATTCAAATATTTTGTCTTTAGTATTGAGATTATTTTAATTAATTAATATTGATTTGAGTTTTAAATGGATTGGGCCGATTAAGTCTCTTAATATAATTATATTTAAAAGTTAATTCGGTTAATTAACCGATTTCGAATCGAATTAATCGTTAACCGAATTTTAAAAAATCTTTAACTGTTCTCTGACCAAACTAATTCAGTGAACAACCGAATTAACCCATTCGATCAATTAATTCGATTAAAACCGAATTTTAAACACCTATCCACCACTCCTTACCACACACCACCCCGTCACCGTCGCCATCCGCTCTTTTTCGAACTTCCTTCACTTTTTTCCTCCAGTCTCTGTTTTATCTATAATACTACCTTCTGGAAACTCAAATTTCCATTTCCCCACAGTAAAGAAAAAAAAAATTACATGAGCATCTCTTCCGGTTACACCACCAGCGTCTTTCTCGCGCCCAACTGCTCCAACAACCTCTTATTCTGCTTCCCTCGAAACTCTTTCCGTATCCGCGAATTTCGCGTTTTCAGACGACGACGCCGTTTCAAGATCTCCCGCTCCAACCCCACTCTCCAAAGCCAATCCAATTTCTCTTTCGATAACAACCTTTTCCAGAACCTTCCTTCGCTCGATTTTCTCGCTCCGGTTTTGGGTCTAACTTCCGGCGTTGCTCTTTATTTATCGTCGCGGTTGAATTTAGCGTTCGGAGGTCGAGACAATGCCTGCGAAATCGGGGAGTGGGTTTTGTTCACCAGTCCGACGCCTTTTAACCGCTTCGTCATCCTCCGATGCCCCTCCATATCGTTCGAAGGGACTGAGTTGATGGAGGATGTGAACGAGAGGTTGGTGAAGGAAGATAGGCATTTCGTGAGGCTAGATAGCGGGAGGATGATACAGGCGAGCAGGAACAGAGGAGAGGAGCCGAATGAGTTGGAATACCAGAGAGTTTGTATAAACACGGAGGATGGCGGTGTCGTTTCGATTGATTGGCCGGCGAATTTAAACTTGAGCGAAGAACATGGATTGGACTCTACGGTGTTGGTGGTTCCGGGAACGGCGGAGGGTAGTATGGACGAGAAGATCAAGGAGTTTGTTAAGGACGCGGTTTTTTGTGGGTTTTTTCCGGTTGTTATGAATCCTAGAGGTTGCGCTAGCTCGCCACTCACCACTCCGCGGTAAGCTATTGAATTCTGGAAGTGAAAATTGTTCGTTTTTGTGAGTATTGTTTCATTACTTCTTTTGTTTATTGCCATTTGTTTAAAATACTTGTAACATGTTTGAAGTAAGTGGGGAGTTTTTACTTGAAAGAATTATTTCCTTCCACAGAAATTAGTTTCTCAGCTAGGCTAATCAAGTGAATTATCTAATTTAAGCTGGGTGCTTTGTTTCTCCCTGTAAATTTCTTGAAAAGCCGTCTGAAACCAAGGCTACTTAACGACTTCATATATGTAGGTTGTTCACAGCTGCTGACAGTGATGATATCTCCACAGCTATACAGTTCATCAATAAGGCAAGGCCATGGAACACATTGATGGGTGTTGGCTGGGGATATGGTGCAAACATGTTGGCAAAATACTTGGGAGAAGTTGGTGAAAAAACACCTTTGACAGCTGCAACTTGCATAGACAATCCTTTCGATTTGGAAGAGGCCACACGATTGACTCCTTATCACATTGCTTTAGATGAAAAACTCACTGGTGGACTTATAGATATTCTACGATCTAATAAGGTTGGTTATTGCTTAAAAATATGTAGCTTTTCACTCAAAATCACTTGATGGCTTCAGTGTTTAGGTATGCTTCATTATACATTAGCATTCAATACTAATTCATTTGATTCACGAATGATCTAGGAGCTATTTCAAGGCCGATCAAAAGGGTTTGATTTGGAAAAGGCTTTATCGGCCAAATCTGTCCGTGACTTTGATAAGGCAATATCTATGATCTCTTATGGCTTTGAGGCCATAGAAGACTTTTACTCCAAATCTAGTTCACGAAGCCTAGTTCACAATGTGAAGATCCCGGTTCTTTTTATACAGGTACCTTTTAGAACTTCTGATGCTAATGCTATCACGAGGTACTTATATTAAATGTCAAATGTGAGATTATTGTTTTCTTGCTTCAAGAAATTCATTTGTAAATGCTGAAAATAGACATTGTTAAATTTACCTACTTTAATGGTAAATATTGACTAAATGTATTATAATTTTGCTTTCTAGTTTGAGAAGATATCTTTTAGGACTTGCAATAGCTTGTATTTTTTCTGTTTCTATCATCTGCATGTTCATATGGTGGCTCAGAACCTAACTCCCCCATTGGGGAAGGAGGAAACCTAGATGGTAAACCTATTTTTTTATAATTTTTTCTTTTTACAGAATGATGACGGATCAGTTCCACTGTTATCCATTCCACATGGTTTGGTTGCAGAAAATCCTTTTACCAGCCTACTTCTCTGTTCTTGTTCTTCATATAGAGCTACAGTGTCTTGGTGCCATCATCTTACTATTGAGGTAATGTCTTCATCTTCTCTTTTCTCATCCGTGTTCCTTCACTTAATTGGATTTTGAGGTTCAAACAATTTAAATCCTACAGAATTTACTTCATATTTCATGATAAGATGTTTCCATTGCTAACTATATCCTGGTTTTTGCAAGTTATGCTAACCGAGCTGGAGTAACATGTTCTGTAGCTTATGTCATCGAACTTGATAAAGTTTTTCCTTGTATATTGCAATTGATATTCCTCATTAGTATCATTTGGTTTATATAGTGGCTTACTGCGGTGGAGCTTGGACTCCTAAAGGGTCGACATCCTCTTCTAAATGATGTTGACATCACCATCAGTCCTTCAAAAGGCTTAGTTTTTACAGAAGATAGGTTGACTGGTAAAGGAAGAAACACTAAGAAGCTTTTGGATCTTTCTAGTTCAAATTCTGTAAATGGCTATTCTGTTGGTCCTACAAGAGACATGTTAGAAGATGGTGGTACAGCTGCTACCATACACCAACAGTCCAGACAAGATTCGCTCAAAGATTTGTCAGCAGAGACCAAACCTCTTGAAGGAGAGTTGGTCAAAGAGGAAGCTGTACCTGAAGTTGGTGAAATAGGGCAAGTTTTACAAACTGCACAAGTAGTTATGAATATGCTTGATGTAACTATGCCCGGAACTTTGAAAGAAGCAGAGAAGCAGAAGGTAGGACTTGTAAACATAGCAGTTTGTTCTTTTATCTCACATGTATTGTCATTCTGGGTTTAAAAAAATGTCAATACATATTCATCAATTTCTAGCCTTCAGTTTTCTGTAGTTTGCATCAAGTATAATCTGCATTTTGAACAATCAAAATGATAAGCTAATGTAAAGGACGGCTTCTGCAAATGTGCTTGTGGGAAGGAAATATGTAACTGTACAAGTTTTATGATATATAATATATTTCTTAAATGAGTAATTTAAATGTTTGGGTCTTTTTGTATTTGATTGACTTCCTTTAATTGGTTTATGATTTTCCTCATGGTTTGCTGGTATCTATATTTTGTTGGAAAATTGAGCTTATATGGTTTATTTCCTTTTTTTATTTAATTTTTCTGGTCTGGCATGCTTGGTTATCTAAGTATCAATTTTAAGCAGGCATGACTTTAAGAATTTGGAGATATGAACTTTAGGTATGTGGAAAAAGAATATGGGACACAAAATTTAGGTATGTTAAATAATCTGAGTATATACATCCAGGTATTGACTGCTGTTAATCAAGGAGAAACAGTTATGAAAGCTTTGCAAGACGCTGTTCCAGAAGATGTTCGTGAAAAACTCACGGGAGCTGTATCAGTTATCATGCATTCTCATGGCACAAACTTAAAACAAGGCATTGAGAGGATTCCCAAAATGCAATCAGGGTTTGGGTCAAAGCGCAAGAAAGTGTCAGTAAAGCTCATTCTCCAGATGAGATAAAAAGAGCCGAGGATTTGGCAAATGGGACTGATAGCAATCAAGTTGGCTTGGAGAAAGCTACTTCTGGACAGGGATCAGAATATCAGCCTTTAGAAAATATGGAAAAGTTTGGGGAGGTAGGTCAATCTCAACCAACAAGTGGAGATCACAGTGATATTTCTTCTTCAGTCAAGAAGGATACAAATGAATTGGGAAAAATTCATGGAAGTGATGATCTCAACAAGGAAAAGGCTTCTCTGCATGCCGACTCAATTGAACCAGGATCAGAAACTAGTGCTAAGCCTAATTTGACTGCCCATGCTGAAAAGGAAGGTAGCACAGATGAAATACTTAGTGGCAAGTCCAAAGCAGACCGAGATGGTAATAATTCCCAGCAAAAGGAAGAAATAGTCATGGATTCTTTGACTGACCAAAATAAAATGGCGTCTGAAGGATCTTCTGAAGCCCAACCAGAGGAAGGGGAAAAGAACAATGATCAGAAAAAAGATCTGCAACATTCATCTGATCAAAATAAGTCCACCGTCACTGATTCCAATACTCCAGCCTTCAGTGTTTCTCAAGCATTAGATACTCTGACAGGGATGGATGATTCCACCCAAGTAGCTGTTAACAGTGTGTTTGATGTGATAGAAAATATGATTGATCAACTTGAGGAGGAAAAAGAAAATGATTCTCGTGATGGACATGAGGTTAGGACTGAGAATACTGAGACTCTGCCTGAGACGCAAGATACATCTAGAAAAAACGAGGGCAGTGAAGATGCTAACAAATTAAGAGAGACTGAAAGCAGTAAAAATAGCCAGGCTATGATTTCTGATAGATTGCATGATCCTCCCACAAATAATGATCGTGGAAACGGTACAGTCTTGCAGGATGACTCAACAAGTGAATGGCTGCAGAAGGAATCCCCACAAAGTCCTGTTCCATCTAAGGAGACCGGTAGTGATGATTCTCAGGGAAATATTGCAGGTAGTAGTTTGGATTTGCCAAGAAACAATGATGGTCCAGTTGGTCGTAAACCTCTGGTTGATTATTCAGATAGACCCATAAATAGCATTCCTTTGCACATAAATGCAAGTCAATATGAGGTATTTCCATATAGTAAATACTTCCACAAATATTTGCTTTCAAAACAAATGACCAAACCACTAGATGTAGATGCAACTACTGCTTTATTGCTCGACTACTTTCCAGAAGAAGGTCAGTGGATGCTCCTAGAACAACCAGGAGAGAACGGAGATTCTAATGCTGTTCTTACAACTCATAGCAGAGAGCTTCAGGCTCCATCTGCTAAAGTGAGTGAAATGGAAAATTGCATTGAAACATCACATGTAACATTAGATACTGAGAGACAGCATGACCCTGTTGTAGAGTTTGAGACTAGTGGCAATATGAATGGAAATGCTGGACAGGACTATAGGGGATTAGAGGAATTGATGCAGCTTGTAGAAGTTACCATATTGGATTCTTTGAGGGTGGAAGTTGATCGCAGGCTGAGTGCATCTGACATGGAAGAAATGGAATCTCAACTTGCTATAGATATTGAAACAGTTGCAACTGCAGTGTCTCTGTGTATTAGAAATGATGAGCAGCTTAATGATTTTGAGGGCAAAGAGAGTGTTATTGGCAATACCTCAGATAAAGTTGGTACTCTTAATGGAGAGAACGTTATCAAGACTATTTCATCTGCTGTTCAGAGAACAAGTTGTCTAAGGAGAGTGCTGCCAATGGGTGTTATTATAGGATCTAGCTTAGCTGGTTTGAGGAAGTATTTTTATCTATCTACAGTTCATGATGGTGATCAAAGTGAAGTTAAAGCTGATGAAAAAATACAAATATCTCTGGAGGGAAATAATGATAAGACTAGTACAATGGATATTGATAAATCACCTATTTATAAAACTAGTGAAAATGGTACTTTGCATGTCCCCAGTAGTAAAAAAGAGGTAGAAAGTGGTTTGAAAGGCCTAAACAAAGACGATGTCATGGTTGGTGTTGTTACAGCTGCTCTGGGAGCATCAGCTTTGCTAGCGCCACTGCCAAATCAGGTAATAGTTAGATTCTTTAGAATTTTTTATATAAGCATTTATGTCTTTTTTGTTGGCTGGTTAAACCTGTATGCTCAAGCCTGGTTTAGCAGGGATATCCTTGTCTTGTTACTAAATATTAAGCAAAATTTGGCTAGTAATAAGGATTTTCAACAATATTTCTATCAGCAAGTTGTTCTTTGAATTTTATAGTCGTTTAGGTATGATGTTCTCTAGAAATTATGCTTATAATTACTTCATTTAATTGTTTCTAACTGTTTTTTCATGTTTGTCATGGTCTGACTCCCATGGAACCTTTTTGACTTTATCTTTCATGGTTAAATTACTAGTTTTAGTTTTTGCCAAAATGGTAAAAGCCTGCTCAAGGCATATCCATTTTGTAGCAAGAGCATCTAAGGAAATGTTGGGTTAAAGTTTAAAAAAAATATTTCAAACTTTTAATCTTCTATTATTATATGTCATGCATGTTGGTTGTGCTTTATGTACTCCAACTTTGTATTCTGCTCATTCTTGCTGGTGTATAACAATGCAAAGGATCCCCTAGAAGAAAAGGGAACTGCAGAAAGTTCATCCAAGACATTCAAAGGGAAATATCATCAGCATAAAGAACCTGGAACTCCTGAGGAAACAGTAGGTGACAAACACCAAATCAATATGGTCAGTAGTCTTGCGGAGAAAGCCTTGTCAGTTGCTGGTCCTATTGTACCTACAAAGGAGGATGGTGAATTGGATCACGAAAGGTCTTTATCATATGCCTGATTTATGTTTCCTTGCATTTGAAGTTGTCTGTTTGGTTTTCTTCGGAACTCTACTTACATGTGTCTTTGTCAGCAGATTGGTTGCTATGTTAGCAGATTTGGGACAAAGGGGTGGCATTTTGAGGCTAGTTGGTAAAGTTGCTTTGCTTTGGGGTGGTATACGTGGTGCAGTGAGTCTAGCGGATAGGCTTATCTCATTTCTCCATATAGCTGAACGCCCCTTCTACCAAAGGTACTAAGTGCTGGCAACCTTCCCAACCCACCTTTGGTTTTGGCATTTCTGATATATATAATATATCCGGGTGCTAGGAGCTGGTGGTGTTCTACTTTTCCGCCTAGATTTATGTTTTTCATCTATCTATTCTTGTTGTACTGATGTACTCTTCCTCTTGTGTCCTGCTTTCTTCCCAAAGGATTCTTAGCTTTGTCAGCATGGGTCTTGTTTTGTGGTCGCCAGTTATTGTTCCATTGCTTCCAACTCTTGTGCGGAGCTGGACAACAAATAATCCCTCCAAGTTCACTGAACTTGTTTCCATTATTGGCTTATACGTTGCTCTCATGACACTTGTCATGTTATGGGGGAAAAGAATACGTGGTTATGAAAAACCTCATGAGCAATATGGACTGGATTTGACATCGTCAACGGTATGGATTCTTGCTTAAACCTTTTATTGAAGAAAAATCTAGATGGTGGCGCATTTATATTTATCTCATATGTTAGCTTCTGATTCTTATCATGCATGTTGATTTATGTCTTTGAGGTTGTTGCTTTTCTGCACCTGGCCAATTAAGGGTTTGAGTCTTGGAGGAAACCTTAAATTTAGCAGTTATGAACAGCTGCTATTATCCTAGACAAAATGAGTTAATATCTCCATTATTACTTGCAGATCACAGGTCTTCTGTCGGGCCTGATTGGAGGAGTCACGCTTGTAATGTTAATACAATCTGTAAATGCTTTGCTTGGCCTTGTCAGTTTGTCTTTGCCTTCAAATTTTCTCCCATCATCTGTGGACTTCATGGCTAGGCTCCGAGTTTATGGGAAATTGTTTGTTATGGCTCTTCGAGGAATTGTTACTGCTACTGGCATTGTGCTAGTTGAAGAACTGGTTTTTAGATCATGGTTGCCTGATGAAATTGCTGCAGATTTTGGCTATCATCGGGGAATTATCATATCAGGAATTGCATTTTCTTTGACTCAGAGGTAACATTTTCTCTCTTGCAACTCATTTCCCCTTTCGTTCTCTCTTTTTCATTTTTTCTTTTTAACTTTATTTTTATTTGCATAATGACAAAAATACACCTAACGTTTGCACAAATGGTCACTTTGTTCCATTTTTTTAGCATTTTATTGCCGACGTTTTAATTTTTTGTCAAAACAGACAATGTTGGATGGAAATCTTTAGTTGACAAATGGTCAACCTATGTTGCTGACATGAAATTTTCCAGTGCGTTAAATTGCTGACGTAACATATGTTACGTCATCGCTTTGTGCGATGTAACAAGTCATCACGTTGGGTGATGTGGTACATACCACGTCATCAATTGAACACATGTGAAAATGTCACATCAATATGGAATGATTATTAATCAACTAACGGTTTCTATCCAACATGGCCTGTTTTGACTAAAAATTAAAATATCAGTAGGTAAAATGTTTTTTTTAAAAAAGTGGCAAAGTAACCATTTGTGCAAATGTTTGGATTGCATTTTTTGTAATCATGTAGTATGAGGATCTTATGTGTGTGTGTATATAAAGTAAAAACGTTGCTAACAATTGCCCTGAAAATGGTTCAATGGGATTGCAGGTCTCTAACGGCGATACCCGGGTTGTGGCTTGTATCATTGGCTCTATCAGGCATTCGGAAAAGAAACGAGGGCAGCCTCGCAATTCCAATCGGGTTGCGGGCTGGGATAATGGCTTCAAGTTTGTTGTACAAACAAGTGGAGTTGTAAATTATAAGGCCAACCATCCTCTCTGGGTAACTGAAGCTTACCCCTTTCAACCTTTTAGTGGAGTAGTTGGTCTTGCATTTGCTTTAGTGTTGGCAACTATTTTCTATCCCAGACAACCTCTGGAACAAAAAAACCTCCAAAAAAACAAACAAGAAATGTAGGGTTAGAAGAGCAGCAGCCTTTGCCACAAAGTGCTACACTTTTGGGTCAATAGTCTGCGTAGTCGGTCTTTGTAATATTTGTAAATGCATGTGAAGGGAAATTTGAAGCAAAAGAAAAGGTGGATATTCATGTATAGTTGGGCGGCATAGGTATAGCAATGTACATTTTGTAAAGGTATATAACAATAATCTAATACGTCCACAAGTATCATGAAGTCCATAACTCGATATTTATTTTTTCAGATGAAAATAAAATCAAGAAATGAGTGTATTCTGGTATAGCTTGTGAGAGGAGTTTGTATTATGATATTTACTAATGGGATCAATATTCGATAATGTAAGTCTTTCCAACTCGATAGTTAATATGAATAATCATAATTGTTTGATTATAGTCTCATGTCAACAAGATTAGTTTCTGTGCGACCTTGTTAGCTTCTGTGCGAGTAAAAACAACTCTGAAACCAGGGTGCGAAGTAAGGAGTCATCTAGCTTCAGAAAAGTAGGTACCCACTACAGAGAGATCGAGAAATGAATTGTTCAACAATTATGATATCATTCCAACCATTCTCAATGGCTAAAATAATGCCCTTTGTAAAGGCTATAGCCTCAACCAATTCAGCTGAGAGGTAGTCTTTCATTCTTAGTGCATGGCCCCTACAACAAGGCCATTATGGTATCTGGCCACAATCCCTTATATGCAAGCGCCATCGACGTTGATCTTCAAGGAACCTTGTGGTGGACATTTCCAGCTTGGATTAACGCATTCTCTAGTCGTGAAGTTACCTGCCCGTGCACTTTTAAAATTTGAAAGAAGTAGAGCATAGTCGTGGACAAATCTTCCAGGTTGCAGGTTATTCTCATGCACCTATTTATTCCTTCTATTCCATATACTCCAGAGCAATACAAGCAGAATGGCGAAGCGATTTTGGTCAATCAGATCAACAATAATATTTAGCCATTCTTTGGAGAAGATAGGGGAGTGTTGAGAAGAACGTCGGTTCAAGGTGTGAAGGAGAGAACTTCTCTGGCCAGAGGGCAGTCACGAAGGGCATGGGTTATGATTATTTTTTTTTATTAAACTAAGGTGAATACAAAGTAGAATTTGTTCTAAATACTCTCAAATATTTGACAATGAACGTTTAGTCACCCTTGCAATCATTGGTGCTCGAACCTATTACCTTTAGGAACAATAATTTCTTTAACCACTGAGATAAATTGATTTGTGCGAATAACTTATAGAATTGATGATGAAAACATAAGGATATATGATTAAAATAAAAAATATATTAAATAGTTTTTTAATAAATCTGAAGCGAATATAAGATGTTAAAGATTTTGAATCCTTTGATAATGAATATTTATACTCTTATATATGTGATGTTCGAATATGAAATCTTAAGAATTATCACTTAATCGCTAAAATCGTTTAATTAGTATAATATAAAATATATTTTAGAAAAATAATAATTAGATAATTAATATAAAAAATAAATAGGTGATTAAATAGATAGGTTTTACTAACGGTCCCATGTGGTTTAATAAACTAAGGTTTCATCAAATAAAAACCAAAATTAAGAGAAAAAGATCAAAAATGAAAAGGACAACCTTTTGCTTGAATTGAGCGGCGCAAAACGCCATGTTCAAACAATGCCGGCAAAGAAAAAGAAGAATCACAAAATGAAATACAAAGAGGCTTTTCTTTTCCCTTATCCAATTCAAAGCGAAAACAACAATTATTATTCTCCAGAAAAGAAGCGGCACATTGCTGTTCATCACCCTCAATTCACTCCTCTGCCAAAGGAACTGATTCAGCCTGTAACAATCACGAAACCAGTAGCAATACAATCAAACCAGAGAGACCTTGAAGAAACGACTAAAAGAGGGTACCCGAATGAGAAAATTACCAGTTTGCGGTACTTGAGAGCATAGAACATCTCAAGATAACGGCGGCTCTCACGGCGTTCGAGGTTGGAGACATGCTTCCAGAATCCGTACACTCCGGTGAGGGTCAACAGTCTCTCGGAGTAGATCTTCCATGTATATCTGATTTCCAACCATTTCAACAATTTGTAGTTCGTCAGAACAAAGCAGAGCATAGAACGTTGGCGCAAATATGAAAAGAGAGAAGGAAATTGGTGAGAGCTTACTTCTCCTCAATACGTTGCAATCCTCCTTGTGAGATCTTGTCCCAGTGAGATGGATCCACCTTACACTTCTCGAAGAAATCGACGAGTATCTCAGCAGCTTGATCACCGTGGTAAGGATCGATGTTGAAACCGGATTTACCGTGGACAATAATCTCAGCCGGTCCACCATTGCAAGTTGCAAACGTCGGCAGACCGCAAGTCATTGCCTCCACGACTGTCAATCCGAAAGCTTCGTACAATGCGGGTTGTACGAATGCACCTTTAGTGTCGCAGATGTATCGGTAAAGTTCTCCGTTGCGGATTCTGTTCATTTGGGATGATATCCATCTGAATTGGCCATTCAAGTTGTACTTTTCAATCAGCTCGAGCATCTTCTTCATTTCGGCTTTCTCTTCCAAATCTTTCGATTCCTTTCGCCTGTCTCCACCTACAACTACAAGGTTCACCAAGTCACGCAACTTTGCGTTCTTGCCATACCACTCGACAAGTCCGGTTAAATTCTTGACACGATCCAGCCTTGCCATAGTAAACAGAATTGGCTTGTTGCGGTCATTGAGCACACATCTGTCGGAAAATCATGGACAAATTGTTAGATCAGACAACACATGCTTTAGTAATCGGTTTTGCTAGTGGAAAACATGCACTTACAAGTGTTCTTCATTCTCGACTTTGCTGTAAAGAAGGTCTTCGATCTCAGGATGGAAATGCTTCAATCTCCTCTTCTCCTCGGTGTAAGGGAAGTATATCTCCATATCAGCACCGGGGGACACAATGTTGAATTTAGGATCGAACACATCGATACCATGTACGACACGGTAGAGACCAGGAAGAGTGAAAGCGGTGTGGCTCTCGTACTGACCGACAGTGTCCTTGCTGGAAATCATTAGAGAATTATATCGAGTTAATGATCTATATCGGCGGAGTTCAGGGATGGGGTTTAAAGAAAATATTATAGATCAAATACTGAGGACACAAATCATCCATATATACCTTCCTGCAATTTCCTGGAAAGTACTGGTGAGGATGGTGAATTGGATCACGAAAGGTCTTTATCATATGCCTGATTTATGTTTCCTTGCATTTGAAGTTGTCTGTTTGGTTTTCTTCGGAACTCTACTTACATGTGTCTTTGTCAGCAGATTGGTTGCTATGTTAGCAGATTTGGGACAAAGGGGTGGCATTTTGAGGCTAGTTGGTAAAGTTGCTTTGCTTTGGGGTGGTATACGTGGTGCAGTGAGTCTAGCGGATAGGCTTATCTCATTTCTCCATATAGCTGAACGCCCCTTCTACCAAAGGTACTAAGTGCTGGCAACCTTCCCAACCCACCTTTGGTTTTGGCATTTCTGATATATATAATATATCCGGGTGCTAGGAGCTGGTGGTGTTCTACTTTTCCGCCTAGATTTATGTTTTTCATCTATCTATTCTTGTTGTACTGATGTACTCTTCCTCTTGTGTCCTGCTTTCTTCCCAAAGGATTCTTAGCTTTGTCAGCATGGGTCTTGTTTTGTGGTCGCCAGTTATTGTTCCATTGCTTCCAACTCTTGTGCGGAGCTGGACAACAAATAATCCCTCCAAGTTCACTGAACTTGTTTCCATTATTGGCTTATACGTTGCTCTCATGACACTTGTCATGTTATGGGGGAAAAGAATACGTGGTTATGAAAAACCTCATGAGCAATATGGACTGGATTTGACATCGTCAACGGTATGGATTCTTGCTTAAACCTTTTATTGAAGAAAAATCTAGATGGTGGCGCATTTATATTTATCTCATATGTTAGCTTCTGATTCTTATCATGCATGTTGATTTATGTCTTTGAGGTTGTTGCTTTTCTGCACCTGGCCAATTAAGGGTTTGAGTCTTGGAGGAAACCTTAAATTTAGCAGTTATGAACAGCTGCTATTATCCTAGACAAAATGAGTTAATATCTCCATTATTACTTGCAGATCACAGGTCTTCTGTCGGGCCTGATTGGAGGAGTCACGCTTGTAATGTTAATACAATCTGTAAATGCTTTGCTTGGCCTTGTCAGTTTGTCTTTGCCTTCAAATTTTCTCCCATCATCTGTGGACTTCATGGCTAGGCTCCGAGTTTATGGGAAATTGTTTGTTATGGCTCTTCGAGGAATTGTTACTGCTACTGGCATTGTGCTAGTTGAAGAACTGGTTTTTAGATCATGGTTGCCTGATGAAATTGCTGCAGATTTTGGCTATCATCGGGGAATTATCATATCAGGAATTGCATTTTCTTTGACTCAGAGGTAACATTTTCTCTCTTGCAACTCATTTCCCCTTTCGTTCTCTCTTTTTCATTTTTTCTTTTTAACTTTATTTTTATTGCATAATGACAAAAATACACCTAACGTTTGCACAAATGGTCACTTTGTTCCATTTTTTTAGCATTTTATTGCCGACGTTTTAATTTTTTGTCAAAACAGACAATGTTGGATGGAAATCTTTAGTTGACAAATGGTCAACCTATGTTGCTGACATGAAATTTTCCAGTGCGTTAAATTGCTGACGTAACATATGTTACGTCATCGCTTTGTGCGATGTAACAAGTCATCACGTTGGGTGATGTGGTACATACCACGTCATCAATTGAACACATGTGAAAATGTCACATCAATATGGAATGATTATTAATCAACTAACGGTTTCTATCCAACATGGCCTGTTTTGACTAAAAATTAAAATATCAGTAGGTAAAATGTTTTTTTTAAAAAAGTGGCAAAGTAACCATTTGTGCAAATGTTTGGATTGCATTTTTTGTAATCATGTAGTATGAGGATCTTATGTGTGTGTGTATATAAAGTAAAAACGTTGCTAACAATTGCCCTGAAAATGGTTCAATGGGATTGCAGGTCTCTAACGGCGATACCCGGGTTGTGGCTTGTATCATTGGCTCTATCAGGCATTCGGAAAAGAAACGAGGGCAGCCTCGCAATTCCAATCGGGTTGCGGGCTGGGATAATGGCTTCAAGTTTTGTTGTACAAACAAGTGGAGTTGTAAATTATAAGGCCAACCATCCTCTCTGGGTAACTGAAGCTTACCCCTTTCAACCTTTTAGTGGAGTAGTTGGTCTTGCATTTGCTTTAGTGTTGGCAACTATTTTCTATCCCAGACAACCTCTGGAACAAAAAAACCTCCAAAAAAACAAACAAGAAATGTAGGGTTAGAAGAGCAGCAGCCTTTGCCACAAAGTGCTACACTTTTGGGTCAATAGTCTGCGTAGTCGGTCTTTGTAATATTTGTAAATGCATGTGAAGGGAAATTTGAAGCAAAAGAAAAGGTGGATATTCATGTATAGTTGGGCGGCATAGGTATAGCAATGTACATTTTGTAAAGGTATATAACAATAATCTAATACGTCCACAAGTATCATGAAGTCCATAACTCGATATTTATTTTTTCAGATGAAAATAAAATCAAGAAATGAGTGTATTCTGGTATAGCTTGTGAGAGGAGTTTGTATTATGATATTTTACTAATGGGATCAATATTCGATAATGTAAGTCTTTCCAACTCGATAGTTAATATGAATAATCATAATTGTTTGATTATAGTCTCATGTCAACAAGATTAGTTTCTGTGCGACCTTGTTAGCTTCTGTGCGAGTAAAAACAACTCTGAAACCAGGGTGCGAAGTAAGGAGTCATCTAGCTTCAGAAAAGTAGGTACCCACTACAGAGAGATCGAGAAATGAATTGTTCAACAATTATGATATCATTCCAACCATTCTCAATGGCTAAAATAATGCCCTTTGTAAAGGCTATAGCCTCAACCAATTCAGCTGAGAGGTAGTCTTTCATTCTTAGTGCATGGCCCCTACAACAAGGCCATTATGGTATCTGGCCACAATCCCTTATATGCCAAGCGCCATCGACGTTGATCTTCAAGGAACCTTGTGGTGGACATTTCCAGCTTGGATTAACGCATTCTCTAGTCGTGAAGTTACCTGCCCGTGCACTTTTAAAATTTGAAAGAAGTAGAGCATAGTCGTGGACAAATCTTCCAGGTTGCAGGTTATTCTCATGCACCTATTTATTCCTTCTATTCCATATACTCCAGAGCAATACAAGCAGAATGGCGAAGCGATTTTGGTCAATCAGATCAACAATAATATTTAGCCATTCTTTTGGAGAAGATAGGGGAGTGTTGAGAAGAACGTCGGTTCAAGGTGTGAAGGAGAGAACTTCTCTGGCCAGAGGGCAGTCACGAAGGGCATGGGTTATGATTATTTTTTTTTTATTAAACTAAGGTGAATACAAAGTAGAATTTGTTCTAAATACTCTCAAATATTTGACAATGAACGTTTAGTCACCCTTGCAATCATTGGTGCTCGAACCTATTACCTTTAGGAACAATAATTTCTTTAACCACTGAGATAAATTGATTTGTGCGAATAACTTATAGAATTGATGATGAAAAACATAAGGATATATGATTAAAATAAAAAATATATTAAATAGTTTTTTAATAAATCTGAAGCGAATATAAGATGTTAAAGATTTTGAATCCTTTGATAATGAATATTTATACTCTTATATATGTGATGTTCGAATATGAAATCTTAAGAATTATCACTTAATCGCTAAAATCGTTTAATTAGTATAATATAAAATATATTTTAGAAAAATAATAATTAGATAATTAATATAAAAAAATAAATAGGTGATTAAATAGATAGGTTTTACTAACGGTCCCATGTGGTTTAATAAACTAAGGTTTCATCAAATAAAAACCAAAATTAAGAGAAAAAGATCAAAAATGAAAAGGACAACCTTTTGCTTGAATTGAGCGGCGCAAAACGCCATGTTCAAACAATGCCGGCAAAGAAAAAGAAGAATCACAAAATGAAATACAAAGAGGCTTTTCTTTTCCCTTATCCAATTCAAAAGCGAAAACAACAATTATTATTCTCCAGAAAAGAAGCGGCACATTGCTGTTCATCACCCTCAATTCACTCCTCTGCCAAAGGAACTGATTCAGCCTGTAACAATCACGAAACCAGTAGCAATACAATCAAAACCAGAGAGACCTTGAAGAAACGACTAAAAGAGGGTACCCGAATGAGAAAATTACCAGTTTGCGGTACTTGAGAGCATAGAACATCTCAAGATAACGGCGGCTCTCACGGCGTTCGAGGTTGGAGACATGCTTCCAGAATCCGTACACTCCGGTGAGGGTCAACAGTCTCTCGGAGTAGATCTTCCATGTATATCTGATTTCCAACCATTTCAACAATTTGTAGTTCGTCAGAACAAAGCAGAGCATAGAACGTTGGCGCAAATATGAAAAGAGAGAAGGAAATTGGTGAGAGCTTACTTCTCCTCAATACGTTGCAATCCTCCTTGTGAGATCTTGTCCCAGTGAGATGGATCCACCTTACACTTCTCGAAGAAATCGACGAGTATCTCAGCAGCTTGATCACCGTGGTAAGGATCGATGTTGAAACCGGATTTACCGTGGACAATAATCTCAGCCGGTCCACCATTGCAAGTTGCAAACGTCGGCAGACCGCAAGTCATTGCCTCCACGACTGTCAATCCGAAAGCTTCGTACAATGCGGGTTGTACGAATGCACCTTTAGTGTCGCAGATGTATCGGTAAAGTTCTCCGTTGCGGATTCTGTTCATTTGGGATGATATCCATCTGAATTGGCCATTCAAGTTGTACTTTTCAATCAGCTCGAGCATCTTCTTCATTTCGGCTTTCTCTTCCAAATCTTTCGATTCCTTTCGCCTGTCTCCACCTACAACTACAAGGTTCACCAAGTCACGCAACTTTGCGTTCTTGCCATACCACTCGACAAGTCCGGTTAAATTCTTGACACGATCCAGCCTTGCCATAGTAAACAGAATTGGCTTGTTGCGGTCATTGAGCACACATCTGTCGGAAAATCATGGACAAATTGTTAGATCAGACAACACATGCTTTAGTAATCGGTTTTGCTAGTGGAAAACATGCACTTACAAGTGTTCTTCATTCTCGACTTTGCTGTAAAGAAGGTCTTCGATCTCAGGATGGAAATGCTTCAATCTCCTCTTCTCCTCGGTGTAAGGGAAGTATATCTCCATATCAGCACCGGGGGACACAATGTTGAATTTAGGATCGAACACATCGATACCATGTACGACACGGTAGAGACCAGGAAGAGTGAAAGCGGTGTGGCTCTCGTACTGACCGACAGTGTCCTTGCTGGAAATCATTAGAGAATTATATCGAGTTAATGATCTATATCGGCGGAGTTCAGGGATGGGGTTTAAAGAAAATATTATAGATCAAATACTGAGGACACAAATCATCCATATATACCTTCCTGCAATTTCCTGGAAAGTACTGGTGATGATGAAATCTGTATGGTTCATGGCAAAAGATCAGCTGTAAATTGGCAGGAGAAATGGTATTTGTCTTCAAGCTTCTTCCAGTAGATATCTGAATCTGGATATTTTGTCTTCTCCAAAGCATGGGCAATGGTACACTATACAAGGGTGAAAAAACCAAGTCATTTTACCCAAATACATCGAAATATGAGATCATCATACAAGATCGGAGCAAATTTGTTTCTCACAAACCTGTGTGACACCCAATTTATGTGCGAGCAAGGAGGCGACGATATTGCCATCACTGTAGTTTCCGATGATCAGATCTGGCTTACCTTGCAACTCTTTGGAAATATCATGAGCAACATCCTATGTGACAAACAGATTTACTAGTAAATAAAACAAATGTGATCTACCATCCTTGAAATGAATATACGAAGATCAATGGCTCATGTGGTTCACCTCGGTGTAAGTTTCCAAATAGGGCCAGACTTCGAATCTTGAGATCCACTTACGCACAATTCCCTTCTCTGTTCTAAAAGGTACTCGAAGAATATCCGAGTACTCTGTTCCGTATACCTTCTCAAGTCGTTGGCCACAAGTCGTTCCGACGGCATCAGGAAGAAGTCTAGTAATCTGAAAAAAGAAAATAGGCATATAAGCATACAAAATAGCCAAAATCACATGCCGAAGAAACCTGAAACAAAGCAGTAACCAAGAAATCTCACAATGAGGATACGAGGGGTGATGTTGAGTCCTTGCTGCTTGATACGGAGGAGCATCTCATTCTCTAAAGCTCGGACTTGATCCAAGATATAAACAACCTGGCCACCGGTGTCAGGGTACCCCAAAACATTGTCTTGAGCAAAGTATCCGTGGGGAGTAAGAATCACAACATTGAACACCATGGGATCCTCCCAAGGAATTTCTCAAGGGTGCAAGGATCAGGTGCCTCAAGAAGATCCAAAAGGAGTTGGATCATCTCGAGCACTCGTTCGGCAGTGTCACCCCAACCCCTCTCCAAACCGATTTCCTGGAACCTGTGTTCGAATTCGGCATATGGTGTCTCGACAGGCAGGGTACCAAGATACTCCTCTGCCTTCCTCAAAACATGTTGTAGAGCATTCAGGTTTTGAATTCTATCATTCAACATCATGTTCTGCAAATTAAACAAAAAACAACTAAAACCCTCAGTATTTTAAACCCACAAAAACAAAATAGACTATACCATGAATCTATGTCTGATCTTCGCACTGGCAACAAATTTGACTTATGTTTTTATGGGGCATACCTTGCCCTTGTGGCAGTGGACTCTGAGGAATTCAAGCAAAGGGTGCATGCTCTCCTTGTCATGGAACAATTTTGCCGAAAGGTGGCGATTAAGAAACTCCACACCATTACCAATCGACTTCGAAAGAGTTGGGCGAGGGAAAGATGAATTGAAGGGCTCAAAATCCAATTCCAAAACAAAGTTTCCATTTGAACTGCAAAACAAAGCAAAGAAGAAGAAGAAACATTGTTAAAGACCAACAAACTTCATTAAACAGATCAAATGAACTCTGCAATGTATATATGTTTACCTTCCATCAACAAGTTCTTCCTTGAAGTGAAGATACTCAGCAACAGAGAGCTCTTCAACGACAAGGGCGTGAACATTCACTCTAATGTACTCCCAAACACCAGGTCTTGGACGAACAGCAAGTGCGACCCATGGGGGCAACACGATCGCTTCCTTTACCACAAAGAAATGAACAAGATCAAGACTCTGTAACCAAAAGAAACAAAAAGAAAATGGTTTAATTTACCTGACTAGCCTTCAATATTTCAAAAAATGCACCATCAGCGAGCTTCTTCCTGTTTTCTTCAGGGATAGCTTCAAACTCAAGGATGATCTGATGGTGTTGCAGAATTCCTTTTCCTTTGCCCTCGATCCTACAATAAAATTTACCAATTATGTAAACAGATTTCAAAAGCAACATGCAGAGCAAATTTAAAAATAAATCAGCTTCATATTACCTAGAGAGCAAGGCCAAAATCTCGTTCCTGTGAGCAG